ATGTACATGTAGAATCGTCCTTCCTGGCTTGTAAACAATGGCACACTAGCTGTACTGGAAAGGCTGGGTGGCTCAGGCCGCGCGGACACATTTAGGACGAATGCCCTTAACCGAGTATTTGGGCGTTATCCGAAACCAATATTTTGACGCAAAAATGGGACGCTATCCGATTTTGGCGTTAGATGATGCCGTCGTTACTCGAGGGTCCACTGTATTAATTTATGCAAAAACTTGCTGGGGCTTTAACCCTCTATTTAGGCAACAAGGTAAATCACTTAATATATAGTATCCAATGTCCACTGCTTTTGTAATGCTGTTGTGGTTCATGACAGGGCATCATTACAATACTTATTCCATACCCTAAAATAAAAATGTAATTGATGTAACAAGAAAATACACCTATACAGGGATAATTACAATTCACAGGACATACGTATATTAAAATGTGGGTGCAGCTGCTGTAACAAGGACGAGCACTTAAACTAATGAACCACTTTCTTTAACTTTGAGCTACTCTAAATGTTAAACTTTGTTTACATTCTCTGTGAAGTAAGATCAGTCCAAGACTACATCTGCACTCCTCTGAGGTCAATGCCTAAGAATTACTTCACATAAACTGCTATATAAACTATGACAAGACAAATTAAGAAAAAACTATCATACACTGTAAAAGAGAGTGAGATAATTCCTATTATCTATTTTTATTTTTTTTTTGTACAAACAGGATAAAAAGCAAATGTAACTTATGACTAAACTACTGAAAAGAGAATATAAATAAGAACTAATTCACAGAAAAATATGAGATAAATATTATTTTCCTAATTTACTCTTTGCTTATGAAATAAATTGATGAAACTGAAAAGTAAGAAACTTTTAGACTATTATATTTATTATAAAACTGTTCCCTGAACTGATTAAACAAGGGATAAATTTGTTGTGGCTAATGTTGTCATCTATTTTGAGTATGCAATTACTCATGCAATTTTTTTCCAAGGTCATTTATTTACCTCATCCTTCAAGGAACATCATCTCATACATTCACTCTAAAATATCTGAACACATTCAATTCTTCTAATCTATGAACATCAAAATGGTATACAATACCGACAGGTTGTTAGGTAAGACACATATGCAACAGTTAGACAACTTTATTCCAAAACGTTTCGGAATAAAGTTGTCTAACTGTTGCATATGTGTCTTATCTTCTAATCTATGTTTTTTTTTCATTCTAATATTTCATTTAATTCTCATTAGCTATCAAAAAAATCCTTCTCTTACACTTCTTCCAAACCTGTGTAGCCTTCTTTCAGATTCTCCAAATTACAGTGTCATCTTTAAACCTGAAGTCAGATTAATTATCTTTAACTCTTAAACTGTCCAAACGTAGATGTACGATCGCCTGCGCAGCGCTCCGAATATTTTGAAAAATAAAAAAATAATTTTTTTTTTTAAATTGAAGAGCGCATTCTTATAAATGTTATAGGATAAAAAAAATTTAGGGTCAGTACTTACCGAGATATAAGCCCGCGAAGTTGGTGCTAAATGATGAGGTGTCAGCAACAAGGAGCACTGCTGCTTGCAGAAATAATAAACATTTATCGTTTTTTTCCCAATTCTTTTCTATTTTTTGTTGTTTTCATGTTATGATAATAATGTTTTGTTGCAGATCTTTTGATTTCATAGCCAATTCTTGTTGAGACAAAAGTTTGGTACTGAATTAGTGATCATACTGTCACAAACACACATGTTCACACTGATAAATGAATTTGTACACCTGGTTCAATCACATACTATTGTTTACATATAGTATATACAAGGTATTTACAAGTCCCATTTATGTTTCTAAAAGTTCACCACTGTATGGTACTCCAAGAAGCATGGATTCATACAGAGTGCCACCCCACATTGCTGACACATGTATCATGTGTCTTTCTGCACTCGGGGTCGCTGTTTAGTGTAAGCACACACAACACACTTTTTCTGAGAGTACTCCTTCTTTGGAGTAGATGGTAATGTTACCAGACAGTGACAGTTAGGGATTATTTTGTCGGGCACTTCCCCCCCTTCTTGTGGAGTGACAGGTTGCTGTTGTGGGGTGACAGGTTGCTGTGGAGTGACAGATATAGGTGTGGTACCATACTTTCTCAGTATCTGCTTGATGACATTGAGGGTGAATTCTGCATATTGTTGTCGCTTCACAGTCTTTATTTCATACATGTTGAAGGCATTGAGCATTGCAATGTCTACAAGGTGGAAAAAACACTTTTATATACCACTTGCAACTCCTACACACACAGTCAACAAACCCTATCATCATGTCACATTTGTCGATTAGTTGCATATTGTTTGTATAGTCGATGGCAGCAGCTGGCTTTACAATAGGTTCATTGTTGAACCTGCTCAGTCTGTCTGTGTGTACCATCTCGTTTCTGTGGATGGTTGACAGCAACGTCAAGTCCTGTTTGTCATGCAACGTCAGTGCCATGATGTCATTGGCATGAAATGCTTCAACTAGACTTCCTCCAGTGAACCTTGGCATGTGTTTTCTACTTCTTCTCACTGTTCCACATATATCAGTATTGTTCACACATAGGAAATCAGCTAGCATAGGGCTTGTATACCAGTTGTCTGTGTACAATGTATGACCTTTGCCAAGGTATGGTCCCATCATCTTGCGAACAACATCCCCAGAAATGCCCAACATGCGCCTGGTATCGTCGAGTGTATTTTTCCCTGTGTAGATAATGACATCCAACACAAGACCAGTCTCACAGTCACACATTACAAAGAGTTTTATATCAAAGTGATTACGTTTGCTTGGTATATGTTGTTTGAATGACAGTCATCCCTTGAACAGAACCAAGGACTCATCAACAACAATGTTCTTGAATGGATAAAAGTAGGCACTGAATTTTTGCTTCAGATACATAAACAATTACCGGATTTTGTATAAGAGGTCATTTCTGTTTGGCGTATTCCTGCCCGAGAAGTGCAACATTCGTAGCAACAGAGCGAATCTGTTGCAGGGAAGGAGGTCACGGAAGACTGGAGTATTGATGAAGTGGTCTGTGGACCAGTAGTGTGCTATATTGTTCTTATATGTGTGTGGCATAAGCATGACAGTGCCAAGGAATAAATACATTTCAGCCACAGTTGTATCTTTCCACCTGCGCAGCCGTGAAGACTCTGAAACATCTGCGTGGTCCATTGTATACTGGTAGTACATGTTGGTTTGGGTAACAATTAGGTTCATTATTGGCTCATCAAAGTACGTATAGTTGAAAATAGTCTAACTCTGTAGACTCATTTGTGATGGGACAGTGTGGCATGATGCCACTTCCACTGGCATCAAAATTGAAAGGATTTGGCACAAATGGTGTACTTTCTGTCCAGTTCCATTCGCAATCAGATGGTGCAGGGTGGACCTGTGGCATGGGGTGTGGGGAACAGGAGGGGGGACAGGAGTGGAGGCAGCACATGGTTGAGAGGGTGACGGGTGGTCCTTTGTCTGTCCACCCACCACACCACGAGGTCCAGGCAAAATGCCACCCCCTCTTCCTCCATCCCAGCATATTCACCTTCATCATCACTATCACTATCAGTGGTTGGGGTTTCGGACTGTGACCTCATACGATCCTTGCTGCTGACTGCATATGGCATGCTACATGAACGGAGGTTACGATGCCTAAAAGTACGTTTCACTGGGGAATAATGATAATCATTTTCACTTGACGAATCGTCTATCGGCATAAAATCGATTTCATCATTGTCACTTATATCACTTTCACTATCGTCACCACCCAAGCACGTGGAAAATGATAATTTTCTCTTGCGAAGTTGCCTTTGGGAAGCAACACTAGCAACCCCAGAGGTGCTGGGCTGAGGGTCTGTTGTGGCCACACTGGCCACCTCAGAAGTACTGGGTTGAGGGTCTGGTATGGCCACACTGTCCACACTATCCACACTGACCACCCCAGAGGTCATGGCCTGAGGGTCATCTGGGTTATCAACAAAAGTTTCACTAATTCCTTGATCTTTAGTGGCTATATCGGAATCAAAAGCACTAAACTTGCGTTCTGTATCACTTTCCGAGAATAGTAGAGTGTTAATATGACGAGGAGTCAGTGAATCACGGGGGTTTGCCATGTTGTTGACCCAAGATGGAGCTGAAACTAACTGGTGTTACCACGCAGTACCCCAGCGTCCCCAATTTTTTCAATCTGCGCACACCCATTTTCTCATGCCTAGGCGACTCAGGCCTATCGCCCCAATTTTGAAGGAATGAAAAATAAAATGTTGATCTACGTTTGGAGCCTGCCGTATGTCAATGTATATCTAAGTGTGGACAGTTTATGGGTTAAGGACCACGTCTCTCCCTAATGCTTGAACTTGTACATCTCTTATATCCTCATCTCAAGTATGCTAAACAATCTAAGACCCACTGTTACTGGGATTCTTTCCTCTCTTTCCTATATACACATTGCCATGAGTTTCACTCAGTAAAAATTCTTTACATCTTTCAACAACCAGCCACTTATTCCATAAAACTGCAACACTTATTACAGTGCTCATAATCCACACTGAAATACATCATTCAAAATGCTTACTTTAGCAAACAGTTCTTTGGCTGGTCTAAGCCATGCTTCTTTATAAGTTCTATCATAACCAATTGTTTCACATACATTTTTATTTCTCAGTCCTTTTAACTCTGCAATCATATTTATGCTTTTCATTCACTAATTCACAATTCTAGTCCTTTTAACTCTGCAATCATATTTATGCTTTTCATTCACTAATTCACAATTCTATCATACGCTGCACTTATACATTTAAAAATTCTTGTTGCCATTTCTTATTAGTATTAAGAAAAAACATGTCTCTGACAATCCTTATGCATCTTCCAATTTATGTAATAAGACTGATAGATAGATGGGTAGGCAAAACAGAACTAAAGGTAGATATATGTAATGTTTTAAGTAGAGCAACAAGAAAAACCATACCTTGTGTCACCCCACTTTGCTAAACACTCTCCATGGAAAGAGTGGTTACACAAAATTGTCAAAATTCCATCCACAGACTCATCCATTCGTTCAAGACAAACAGGACAGTTGGGCAGTTCTGTATGACCTGTAAATGTAAGAAAAAATAATACTAAAACAAACATTTCTATCAACCTCTTTTCAATCTCCAACAATCACATAATGAAAGACATGAATCAAAAAATAAAAATTATTACTGTAGGATAGTGAATTTTCTAATCTACTCCTTTTTAAAAATACTTGGCACAGGGTGTGATAAGTCGTAACATGACTCATGATATTGTAATGACACGATTGCAAACAAACCATACCACAGGAGGGGTATGAGACTCTCTGATCGCGGGTTCTATCCCCACCCGTGGTATGGTTTGTGACAAGTCTGTTTGTCAAAATTTTCATACCAGACATACATCTACGTTTGACATTGAAATTACCCACTTATTTGTTCAAACATGTGGGGTCATCAGCATCATGAGTTCATTTACATTATATTATTATCTTAGTTATGGTATAAAGAACCTTGGCAGTGGTTCAAGAAATAAGCAGGAATTGTGATGTGTGTATTTTTGCTGTAAAATTGTGTATTCAGTTATACTTGGGTCACCATATAAGTTAGGTAGGTAGGTAGACCCATATAAGTTAACACTCATTCTATTAAATCCTGGGTTATTTTCATTATTTCTGAAGTTGATAATACGGATATGCATATTGTGGCACAAGTGTGTGTGTGTGTGTGTGTGTGTGTGTGTGTGTGTGTGTGTAGAGAGAGAGAGAGAGAGAGAGAGAGAGAGAGAGAGAGAGAGGAGAAGAGAGAGAGAGAGAGAGAGAGAGAGAGAGAGAGAGAGAGAGAGAGAGAGAGAGAGAGAGAGAGAGATAGAGAGAGATAGAGAGAGATAGAGAGAGATAGAGAGAGATAGAGAGAGATAGAGAGAGATAGAGAGAGATAGAGAGAGATAGAGAGAGATAGAGAGAGATAGAGAGAGATAAAAGAGGAGAGAGAGAAGAGAGAGAGAGAGAGAGAGAGAAGGGGGAGAGAGAGAGAGAGAGAGAGAGATGAGAGAGAGAGAGAGAGAAATAGTGTTTGATATTTGATAAATGTTTTACTCCAGAGAGGCAAGTTTCAATATTTGCACTGTATTTCTGTAGCAGATAAAACATTAGAGCTTAGTGTATAACAGAAATGCAGCTTGAAGACCCAGTTGTCAATTATAATAAGAAATAAACAGGTTATGTAAACAGAGGTTACAATATACAGTGGAACCTCGGTATGCGACCTTAATTCATTCCAGAAGACTGTTCGAGTGCTGATCCATTTGAGTATCGAACAAGTTCTTCCCAACCAATTTTCTGTTTGGTTGGCTGTTAACACTAATCTTCGAAGTCCCCATGGTGACGTATTTATACAAATAATACAAAAAAAACACCAAAAAATGTGTGTTTGGTTGAGTGCCGAGCTTTGGAAGAGTAAGGAGTTGGTCGTGTACCAAGGTTTCACTGTATAGCCTCTCCTCACTTAACGACAGAGTTAGGGGCCTGAGACCCCACTGGTAAACGAATTTGTCGCTAATGGAGGAATCGCCCCTTACTGACACTACAAAAGTGTCACAACCCAAAATTAAAACATTCAGTTTTATGTTTTCTGGGAAATTCCTTTCAATCTGTTTATTATTAACCCTTTGAGGTCACATACAAGTACGTCATTGCAGCCAGGGTCGGTCACGTACTTGTATGCCTAAATTCTAGCGCCTTCAAATCTGGTGGAAGAAAGCTGGCAAGCCTACATATGAAAGATGGGTCTGTGTTGTTAGTGTGCACAGTATAAAAAAAAACCTGAAGCACGCTGTGCATAATGAGAAAAAAATAACTTTGACTGCACTTTTGGTTTAAAACAGCGACTTTCTAGTGTATTTTCGTAGGGTATTTATGGTTGTATTCTCATTTCCTTGGTCTCATTTGATAGAATGGAAGATATATTACAGAATTAGAGATGATTTTGATTGGTTTCACAATGACCAGTACGTTGAAATTGAGCTTAAAGTAGCAGAAATGAACGATTTTTGCTGATGTTCAAGAGTAAACAAATCAAGCCAAGCGTCCAATACACGTCAACTGGTGAGTCTAATATTCTTTCACAAGTGCGCTGGTATCCTTTATACTGTTTTTACAATGATGCAGTAGTATACATAATAGAAAACCTTCTATTTTCTGTGAGAATAAAAATTCAAAATGGAAAGCAAAAGTAATGTACAAGGGGCCTAGAGACATGACTAATGAGCAAATAAAATGTTATTTTAGTGCCATGAATGTCTGTCTTATTTATTCTGGACCCTATTTCGAAATTGGCATCTTTTGAAATTTGTGTGAAATTGCCCGAAGTGCCAATTTCTGACCACTTTACTGGGTAGTTGAAATTGGTAAATGGGTAGATTCTTGTACTCAATCGATAGAAGAAATGGAGTTCTAGGGAAATAGCTATGATTTTAATCAACTGCAACATTTGAAGTGGCCAAAAATAGGGCTTAAAGTGGGAGAAATCGCCCACTTTGAGACCACTAACTTCGCGAGAGCATAATTCCATAAGTTTTCCATAAAATTTCATACTTTTGGTGTCATTATGTTTGAAAAAGAACCTCCATTTCATTTCTTAAGAAAAAGAATTTTTTTTTTTTTCGAAAAATTTTTGACCCTGAGAACGAGTTGGGGAGAGGGCCTCTCGACCCTCAAAGGGTTAACTGTAATACAACATAAAATAGATCAATGACTTACTTCCAAGATATTTCAGGAAACACATGGATAGCTGATTACTTTGGAAATATTTTTTTTTTTTTTTGAGAAAATTGCACTTTTTTCAGTCTTTGCATAGGATAAGAATGATCTTCTATAGCTGCCCTTCAGGTATGTAACGTTTTCTGTAATGGTCGCTGTCACATTTTTTTTTTATCCCTCCCCACCCTCCACCTTTCCATACCTCTCTATGTAATGTCAGTTTTCATTAATTTGGGCATCTTTATCATGCCTCTACATTATTTATGTTATACCTAATATTATTCTCGAATAAGTATGATAGATAGATAGATAACCTTTATTGATTGTAATAGTATAATTATACAATATTTTATAGAGCTGAGAGGCACACCTCTCCACGCATCAATGGCCATCATGAGTTACTGAGACACTGCTCCTTCTCCCTCTGCTATAGCTCCACCCATTTTGTAACGATGCCAAATGGCGAATTAAATAGTATATTAGAAAGTTACTTTTTGCTCATGATACTGTGCTTATTGGAGATTCTAAAGAGAAGTTGCAAAGGTTAGTGGACGAGTTTGGGAGGGTGTGTAAAGGTAAAAAGTTGAAAGTGAACATAGAAAAGAGTAAGGTGACAAGGGTATCGAATGATTTAGATAAGAAAAACTGGATATCACATTGGAAAGAAGGAATATGGAAGAAGTGAATGCTTTCGGACATTTGGGAGTCGACGTGTCAGAGGATGGATTTATGAAGGATGAGGTTAATCATAGAAATGATGAAGGGAAAAAGGTGAGTGGTGTGTCGAGGTATATGTGGAGACAAAAAATGTTATCTATGGAGGCAAAGAAAGGAATGTGTGAAAGTATAGTGGTATCAACACTCTTATATAGGTGTGAAGCTTGGGCTGTAAATGTTGCAGCGAGGAGATGGTTGGAGGCAGTAGAGATGTCCTATCTAAGGGCAACATGCGGTGTAAATATTATGCAGAAAATTTGGAGTGTGGAAATTAGGAGAAGGTGTGGAGTTCCTAAAAGTATTAGCCAGAGGGCTGAAGAGGGGTTGGTGAGGTGGTTTGGTCATTTAGAGAGAATGGATCAAAATGGAATGACTTAGAGAGTGTATAAATCTGTAGAGGAAGGAAGGCAGGGTAGGGGTCGTCCTCGAAAAGGTTGGAGGGAGGGGGTAAAGGAGGTTTTGTGGGTGAGGGGCTTGGACTTCCAGCAAGCATGTGTGAGCATGTTAGATAGGAGTGAATGGAGACAAGTAATTTTTGGGACCTGACAAGCTGTTGGAGTGTGAGCAGGGTAATATTTAGTGAAGGGATTCAGGGAAACTGGTTATTTTTATATAGTCGGACTTGAGTACTGGAAATGGGAAGTACAATGCCTGCACTTTAACCCATAAACGGTCCAAACGTATACATACGCTCTTACCGCTAGTGCCCCAGACATATATTTACATCTTATTTTTCCTGCCTCCAAATTTGGCATGATTGGCCTGAGATGCCTGGTTAGCATAGAATGGGTCTTAACACTTGGTGTTTACAGTATTAAAAAAATCTAGGACCACTTAGTACCTTGTGGTAGAGCCAGTTAAACTGAGCACCAGCTAGAGAAAACAGCGCTGCAAACTCCAAGGACTCACTGATGTAATGTCATATTAACACTCCTCTTTTAAGAGGAAAGTGATGTTAACCCCAGGTTTAGTGGCTTTGAGGTGAATGTGGCCACAAGTGGTCAAAGAAATATCAAAAGCCTCGATAATAACCCATGTGCAACATTTGTGCAACATCCTTTCAGAATGTTTTATAACCAATGCCCTAAGTAAAGAGAAACAATTCTGGAAAGTGTAATAAGTGTTCGGCAGGCTGGCAGGCTGGCTGGCTCTATCTCCATATGTCTGTCTGTCTGTATCTATGTCTATCTTTGTCTGTCTATCTGTCTCTGTCTATCTCTATCTCTGTCTCACAGGTACACATAAATAAAATTCTACATAGTGTAAATTACCTAGGATAACCCAAAAAATCCAAAGTGCTATGCTGTGCTTGTAGATATAATGCTAAGAATGCCTGTTGGTTCACAGTGGCATTCTCTGAGACAGAGAGACAGAAAGAGGGACAAGCAGACAGACAGATAAGCAGAGACAGAGCTGCCGACACTCATCAAATGTCACCCCTTATTTCATCACTGCACCCTTGCCGACACTCATCAAATGTCACCCCTTATCTTATCATTGCACCCTCGCTTGGGCTCATCAAATGTCACCACTTATCACTTCACCCTGCAGAGCTTGTCACTGACACTTGTCTTATATCATGCTTCAAGGGAACTACTTATTATT